TGTAAACTACCATCATATCGTTGCTCAAAACATATCACACCGTCCAATGATGGTAAGGTAAGTAGGAAAGTCATCCCAAGGTTAGTATCTATTACTCTACGTAATGACGAAAAATGTGCTCTGTCGACAGTTGTCTCTGTAGTCTCTTTTTTGAAGACTTCAACGTATTACTTACTTTCCAAACTTGATGTTACCAGAATTTAGGGATTCACGTAGGTAAGCATAATTCATTGTTCCGTACAAGTAATCGCAAATTATTTTCACTAAGAAATGTCAGTTATGCTTTTGATCGGTAGGACAAAATCAGAGAAACCACAATCTGTTTTCAAGATATACTTTAGTGTGTTCCATAATTAATGTGAACAACAGATCAGTCAACGCTATATCTGCGTTTTGTCATCATACTTAAAATCATATTTCTACTAGAAATGCATTGTCAGGTGTTAGTTGGTTGGAAGCAGTCAGTAGGTTTAGTGAGTGTTGGTATTCGTCATCAAGACGTATCCGCAACCTTGAGGGAGCTAATGTCTTCTATGAGATTCACATCTGCGTCATCCAGTGCTGTAGTCAGAGACCTTACCACTTAGCTATTCGAGTTGCGATTAACCTCTTACAGGACTGATTTGTGCACAATAATTGTTTACTGGAGAGTAACCAATTTCATGTTTTCTAGTGATGAGTTCTAAACGAATCCTATCCATCAGTTTGCTGTGTGGTTATCAAACTATGTGACTCACTATCACAGTGCAATTTGATGGATGCTAGTTGGTTTGAGGGTGATCGACAGAAAGCCTTATCTTTACTCTTTGAGAAATCTCAGTACGAGTTGTTATTAAGCAAACAGGTCCGTGTAACTAGTTAACAACCATCATTATCTTGCACTTTCTTCATATCAACTGTAAACTTCAGGTGAGCGAAATTCTTTAATGTGATGTCAATTACAAAGTTCTTGTCATGCTGGAAGAATTCCCCCGTCTAAGGTCATTTCCTGAGTATAAACATACTCTTGAAATATAGACGCTAATACTCTTAGTATTCTACTTGGTGGCTAGGAGTGGAATCCAGGACGCGCGTTTCATCCTATTTGGGACTCGTCAGTTGGATGTACTTGGACCCCCTCGAGTGATTTCCCCACTGAGACTCGAACTCAGTACCTATCGCTTCAAGTGCCTAAGCATTATTTGATAGGCCCACTAAGAGCCTATCTCTCAACAGAGACCGAGCAGTTCGAGCCAGTATAGGAACGGGAAATAACAAGTATCGGTGATACTCTTTTTTACAGAATGCCACTTAGTTGTCTAGATTTTCGATTGCAAGATCAATGTGGCTTGGGAGTGTTTTGACAACCGAAAAATATAACTGACGTTCACACAGTGATTATGGTGTTACCTTACTGTAAGTGTAGAGTTTATGCTTTAGTAGGATGTAATTCCAATCAGACTAATCTAATGTGGAATTATGGCGTTACCCGTATCATTATTGCTACTTTAAGGTTTTATGGCTTGGGATTTACTCTTTCACAATTATTTCATTGGCATTAATTCAATGCTGCCTGTTTGTTTATCATAACAGGTTTCTCATTGTATTTCTCCTAATTACAGAATTCGAGAGAAAACTGTTGTTATAGTAGGCATTGGAGGTGTTGGATCAGTGACTGCAGAAATGCTTGTGCGGTGTGGAATTGGACGTTTAATTTTATTTGATTATGATAAAGTTGAACTGGCTAACATGAACCGATTATTCTTCCAGGTAAATAAAAGTTTTGTAACCATTGTTCATTATACATTATAATTTTATATATGTTATAATTTTGTAGAACTCATTTCGTTTTTTTTTGTCATGTTGCAAGCAGACTTTTATTTGAAATGTGATTCTCATCATGGACTAGCATCAATCGGAGAACCATTGGAAACCTGGGGACACTGTTCACCTCTAATTTAGGAATTTTCAGTAATGCACATCCGTGATTCTGTGAGGGATCATGTCTAGCACTGTCTGGCTGCCAGGACACTACCACAACCACTGGGTTGTAATCCAGCGCTCCAATATTTTTTATTCGAAAAATCGTGCCACCATAATCAAATGTTATCAGATGGCATCCATTATCACTCCCAAATTAATTGACACCACAGGTCACTCTTTCCACATCGATCAACCTCTCCAAAGACTAAATGGATTACAATCCAGTGTTTATTGTTCACTGGATATATTTCTCGAAATTTTAACGCGTTGTCACCTGCAGAGCGTAACCTACTCGGTATCCTCAGATTTGTTGTTGCTAACCTTCCTTTTTAAATCAGATAACCGTTGTTGTATTAGTGTTTTCAGCTCTTTCTGTACACTGGAATATCCAGCGATTGCAATTCATTAGATGAGATTATTCTTACCATTTAAACCATACTTTAAATCTCAGTCAGTGTGGGTGAGACTGACTTCAATGTTGAGTAAGGCGTTATACATCAGACATTGCAACGAATCAGTGTATTATCTCGCAAAAAATGCAGCATTTCAAAGTTCTGCACTTCACAGCTGTATGCAAAGAGGACGTAGACGTAAAAGTGATTTTAGGGTAGACAAATGTGTATGGTGAGAAGAAATAGTTGGAAAAATTTGAAGGTTGGTGGAAAGCATAAAACTTTCGAATCTTCCAAAGGGTGGGTACATGTGTACTATTGTGACCGATTGTCAACCATGTCAAGAAGAGTCTGAAACCATCGTTTCCTATCATCCCCAGGACTCCAACTAGGAGCAGTCAACATCTCCCTATACGGACGGCTATGACCAACAGTGAAAGACTTCACAAACTGGTGTCACATCCACTCTTAGCTTTCTTCCAATTCAATACTATTTCGATTAACAGAGTATTTCGAGGTAGGTGGTAGTGAAGGCTGACAATCTCATTGCCTGATCTACCTTTCTTGCCCAGTGCTATAGGCCTAAGGTTGCCATTGATCAGACTGTGTTTCAGAGCACACCAGATATGCTGTAAGGAGATGGGATATCTTACCATTTCTACAAGTGGCGTAAGTTGACGAATGCCAATTGTGTATTGTATTCGAGTTGAGATTTTGTCAGCATGTAACCGATTCAGGTTGTTGTTAATCTCCAAGTATATATATAATTCTCGTAATAAAATTGAAAATTTTAGAAAGCCACCTGCTTGGATGTTTTACTTTCCCAGATGGATTTTGTTTCGTTTCTCATTAGCTTGGCAATTGGATGAAACATTCGCTAACTGAAGAGATGGCCACAAACAGTTTTTCGCCATTTTCCAAAGTTCAAGTTAAACTGCTCAAAACTGTTGTTGTAATCTGTTGCAAATTAGAATTCCTATCGATTTAAGTAGTTGCTAATCACTTGTAAAATATTGATCGGTAATCTACACTTTTATTTGAATTAAATTGTTTACTTTTGCTGAATAATGTTATCTATTTGCTTTTTTAATTTCTACTTATTAGACCTAATTCTAACCACTTTTTTAAAATAGCCTCATCAATCTGGTCTCAGTAAAGTTGCTGCTGCTGCGTCTACCTTAAATTTCATTAATCCAGATGTGCAGATTGAAGCCCATAACTACAATATAACCTTAGTGGAGAATTTCGATCACTTTCTTAATCGACTCAAGCATGGTGGTTTAAAGTCTGGAAGTCCTGTAGACTTAGTGTTAAGTTGTGTTGACAATTTTGAAGCTCGTATGACGATCAATAAAGCGTGCAATCTACTTGGTCAGGTTTGTATTTTTATGCTTACAAGTTAACCATGCAGTATTTATACCTAATTGTTTAATTTACTAAATGTTATCCAGTTAAGTTAAAGATAGTTTTGTGTTTTTGAGATTATGCTTAAGCGGAATCTGGCGATTTTGGAATCCTGTTGCGATTCAATATCACATTCCAGCTGAATATACAAAAACCATTAATTTCTCGAATCATGCTTATCTTCGATAGTCTTGTCAACAATTTATTGAACTATTTTCTTTATCAGTTAAAACGAAGTTCTGCGGACAAATTATGAAAGAAGTGAACTATTGCTGTATCTTAACAAACAACATAGAGGTGATGAAGATACCCAAATAACAACAGCATCGAAAACAAGAGGCACCAATCCCCATTAACGGGAGGAACTTAAAGGAAGTAGCCTCTTTCCCCTATCTAGGCAGCATCGTTTCGACTACAGACAGCACAGATGAGGACGTCAAAGCCGGGATCGGAAAAGCAAGACAGGCGTTCATTAAGCTGAAACCAGTGTGGAGATCTTCTGCACTCAACATGCTTAACAAGATCCGGATTTTCAACACCAACGTCAAGTCTGCTTCTGTATGGCTGAGAGACTTGGCGCGTTACGAAAGGTATTTCCAACAAAATACAGACATTCACCAACAACTGCTTACGCTCGTTACTGAAGATCAGATGGCCAGAAAGAATCAGCAACAAGGAGTTCTGGGAACGAACCAACCAAGAAGCTATCGCTGAACAAATATGCAGAAGGAAGTGGAGATGGATTGGGCATGCACTGAGAAGGCCGACTGAGGACATCACACGCCAGGCCAGATCGTCGAATGGAACCCAGATGGGAAACGACGAGTTAGGCGTCCCTGGTGGGATGACATGGAGGAGATTGTGTGAGGAAGAAATAAGAGCTTGTGGGTTGTCGTGGAGCCAGGTTCAAAAGATTGCGGCGAACAGATTGGAATGGATACGTGCTACTGAAGCCCTATGGTCCACTAGGAACCCAAGGGATAAATAATAATAATAAACAAGCAACACAACGTTATATCTTAAAATCCTTAGGTGTGTTTATTGGCTTTTCGGGAGTTTTTGCCATGGATTCATTTTGTTTCACTATTGATCACTTGCCGGGCAAAAACAGTAATATTCAAGGATGTTATAAGACGCACATATTATGTGTATAGAGAGAAAATGAATAAAGTATACTTCTCTTGAAGTTCGCAGTTAAATTGGATTTTAGACTGACAATAAAAGCTTCCCAATTTAATTGCCTAGATCAGAAGGTACAAAACTATTAAAATCAATCATTTGAACTATAAATTCGTACCATCCTAGGCTTATGCATTTTCATTATGTCATGCTTCATAAATATTTTCTTATCTGGTCATTATATACTTCAAAATTAGCATTAAAACAAATTTCATTCATTCAGGTATGGTATGAATCTGGTGTCAGCGAAGATGCTGTTAGCTGTCATATCCAGTTGATGTATCCTGGAAGAACTCCATGTTTTGAATGTTTACCACCACTGATTGTAGCTAGTGGATTGGATGAGAAGACGTTAAAACGTGAAGGTGTCTGCGCAGCATCACTGCCTACTACTATGGCTCTAGTTTCTTCACTGCTAGTTCAAAATACTTTAAAATATCTTCTGAAATTCGGAGAAGTATGTATTTTTTTTATTTTCAATTGTACTATGTATATTTTATCTGCTTTAGAAACCGTATTTTAGTTTCTTCTGTGCATTCAAGTGAAAGGTAATTAAAGCCGAAATGTTGATGATGTCTTCCCATCATCATTGTTCACGAAATTCATGAAAACTCGTTCGTTAGCTCATTTTAGTTGAAGTCTTCCAGTTTCTCAATAAGGTGCTGATGATCGAATGTTAGAACTCTGGCAGTATCAAACTGTTGTCATCCTGATCCAGAGTTCCAAATCTATAGCAGTTAGGTTAACAACGTGGCTCGTTAATGCTTGATATCGATAACGCTATTAGAAGACGAAGATTACCTGAAAAATGTTATGTATTTGTGCAGTACATTTCGAACAATCTGATCACACATTTACTTGTGAAGTAAATTTATACATGAAAATGAAAGGTAAAATATAATGAATATGAAAAGGTTGTGATACTAGTTTTGGTAGTATAATCAAGGTAAATTAAGTGAAACAACAAATCGTTTTTGTACGCACAGCGGGGGCTTAAGTTTACGAATGGCTAACGCTTCGGCAAATTTCAGTATGTGCCCCTGACTGTTCCTATATGTCTTAAATGCTTTTTCCTTATTAACCTTGTGATTCTTTTCAACAATATGAAGATGGTTGTCTGTCACCTGTACTTATCAAAGTTGTGTTAGACTGTTTTTCGAGCCATTTAAGTATAATTTCACCCACCCTAGTCTGCATAGGATGATTACTCCTCCCTATGTATGTCTTTGCACAAATATGTAAATTGGTAAACAGTGCGGTGTGACATAATCATTTATGTGAGGATGAGGTTTTTGACGAAGCCGATATTTTGTTGTCTGAACGGGGATAAGCTGAACTGCATAGTATGTTTTACCGACAACAGATTTTAATCTCTGTTTCAATATCATACTGCTCATTTCCCTCTGTATATATATATATATATATATATCTGTCCGAAATTTCTTATCATCCATCGTATCAGATGTACAAACACGTTGCAACATACCAAATAAGCATTTTACTAAGCCTCTCTTAGATTTCATCGGACATAAGCTGTGGAAACTTAGGTACTGTCATTTCCAAGTAGGCATTCTATATATCGATCGTCCATTTTCCCTCCGGCACATGAGTATATCAAGAAATGCAAGTTGGTGGTCTTTTTCCTCCTCACATATCAGACTGATTTGATCTCGTATGGTATTAAGCCCTTTTAACAAACCCCTAGCATCCTCATCTGTGTCATATATTACAAAGATACCATTAACATACATTCTATAGAGTGTGACAATAGTGATTAAATCTTGAGCCATTCGTTCAATATGTGACATATATACATCAGCTGATAGCGCTCCTAATGGGACTCCCCATGACAACACCATCAACTTGTCGAAAAACTGAAATGGGCCTTATCAGTACATAATAAAAGGAACTCTTTCAAATGCATTGAAGGAATAGGGAAAGAAAGATAATTCGAAGATATATAGTCGCAAAGAATATTAACTGTCTTCGTCAGAGATTGTTCGAAACGTACTGGGCAAATACATCACACTTTTCAAATAATCTTCATCTTCTACTGGCATTATCGAAATTTATTAAAGGGACTAATTGTTTCAAATTAATTCTTGATTTAGAAGTAGTATTCATCATGGACTGACATCAGTTGGGGAACCATTGAAAGTCTGGGAGCACTGGACAGCTGTTTCGTCCTAGTATAGGACTCCTCAGCAGTACGCACATTAGTGACTTGCTTCCAGATGGATGTTAGGAAGTTCTAATGAGAAGCCGTGACCTGTGGGGTCAACCAGTCGGAAGTGAAGTGGATGTTAACTGAAGACCTTGGGTGACAGTCGCGCTGTGTCGTGAATTGACAGAAGTTGGAAATTGTGAACCACTGGAAACCGATCCAGTGGTTGAATGATTAACGCGTTCGCCGTGGAACCTGAAGGTCCTGAGTTTGGCCCTAGCTGGGTCGTGGGTGCGTACTGCTGAGGAGTCCCATACTAGGACGAAACAGCTGTCCAGTGCTCCCAGACTTTCAATGGTTCCCCAACTGATGTCAGTCCATAATGAATACTACTTCTAAATTAAAAACCCCCATTCATCTCAATAACGCTTGATTGTCACTTTGTGAAATTGAAAGTGATTCTATTTACTTCAATGTAATCAGCTGCGTAATACCGTTACTTATCATTCCTAGCATAATATTTTCATCATCCCACTTGTATTTATAAACATATGATCCAAGTTCATTTAATTAGTGAAGCTATGGTTTATTGTCTAGACACCCGACTTCCAAGCAGTGGTTTGCGAGTTTGAAGCCCACTCCACCTGTCAGCTTTTGGACAACCGAGTAGTTTCACTAACCCTTACACACAATAGGTGTGGTTAACTCCCTACTGCACGACTGTGTACATAACTACTGAGTGCATTTCAATTTTCCATTTAATTCGCTCCCTGTTATTCTTGATTTCGCTTACGTATCCCAAAATTGATTATATGTGAGAATATGCTTAGATTGTTTTTGTGTGATATCTTGTTTTTATCGTGACGTTTTAGTAGGCTTATCTATTTCCTTAGCCTTCTGTTAATTACTATAGCTTCAACATTTTTTAAGTGGTTGTACGTTTTCTGCACGTGTTGATACATATTTCATATGATTAAGTTACTTCAAGTTGCCTAGTTTTCTTAACAATTAGTTATAAGCTAGTTCTCTTTTTATCTCTTTGCAAGTCTAATAATTAATTGTTAAACAAGTAAAATAAGGTAGAAGCAGTTTTAATATACTCTGAATATACTCTTATCGAGTACTCAAGTGTCTTATTTTTTGTACTGTGATAAAATCACGTTTTAACTCTAGATTGTTTATAGATAAAAGTATGTTAAATATCTAAAGATATGATATGATTATAAGCAATGAATTCTGTTCGAAACGTCACTTTACTGTTTCACTGTGTGATACATATAATAACAGTACTATAATGGATTGATTTTATTTTGTGGTTAGTGTGTAAATGATGCATTTATATGGAAAAGTACAATACTCATTCTAGCGGTCATAAAAAGTTTCATTCCCTTGTTCATCTTTTTTTTTGATAAGGTTTCCAGTTATTTAGGTTACGGAGCGGCTAAAGATTCGTTCTATCGTGTTGATCTGAAGGTGAATCCAGATTGTGCTGATCACTGGTGTAATAAGCGTCAAACTGAGTGGCGTAGTTATTTACAACGAATGAATTTTTCGCCTAATTCACCTTGGGATATTGAAGAACGCATAAAAGCAGATAAACTTAAACAAGAAAAACTCCAAGAAGCTCTGTTGAAATTGAGACATGAAGAAAACGATTTTGGTATCGAGTTGGAATCAGAATCATCTACAGAATCTTCAAACGATAAAATTGGTTTATTCACTTCGAGTTCTGAAGTGAATGGTGTAAAAACACTATATCCTGTTAAGGACAGAAAACTGGATGCGGATTCTCAGAATGCATCAGGCTCTTTTGTCTCACAAACAGATGATAGTCTCGAGGCGCTTATGGCAAAAATGAAGCAATTGTGATCATTCTTTTTACGTTTTTGGTAATGCAAGTTTTCTTTCTTTCCAATTTGCTGTCTTATTGGATACATCTCTATTTTAAGTACGATGATATGTGATATTTCTATATTTTCTTCATCCCTCCTCACTTTTTGTCTGCAAGTTATTCCTTCGATAATGGGCTATATTTTATATACTACAAGGTAACTATGATTCTGGATGTTGTTCTAATAAAAAGTGAATAAAATTGGGCTAGAACTGTTGTTTGATTTTTTTAGCACTCTGGTAGGACTTGATTTCGTGCATTTCAGCAGTTGTTTCTTAACTATATTAGCATATTTCATCGCGTGATTACTTGGTTTTGATTGATTAGGGATTGAAGCATCAATTCGCGTCATAAAGGTAATAATTACTTCTTTGCCATTTGATGGGTTGAAGAGTTAACCTAATACTGTTTCGAAGATATTTTATCGGTTGATTTTGGCTACTTATAACTCTTAGCAGTAAGCAAAGTAGTTATGCGTACGAAAAAATTTGGTCATTGGGTAAATGGTATTCATTATTTTGATATTTGTATATATGAAAATTTAGGCCCACCAATTCATTTGAACTGCAACAGGGACTCAATAATATACAATGGGAGGAGGGAAAAAAGATGGTCCGTTCTGATATGACGAACTTCTATATAAATATACCAGTTAATAAACATTGCACTCGAGGCAGTCAGAAATAAACTCACCACCGACCATTAGCTCAGTAATAAAGTTTCGATTGAAGAAATTATGCTACGGATAAGATTACGTTTATCTTTCATGGTCTTCAAATGTCAAAACAAAATATATCAAAAGCAAGAGTAGTGATGCGATCTTCAATATCCCCAATTATAGTAGACCTATTTATGGACAGATGGTATTAGAAAGATTCTAACCCACTCTAAAATTATGGCTGCGATACATTGATCACACTGTGTTGAAATCAGAACATCCAGCGTTTTTTCCTTGCATTACTTTGGCTGATAGACGCAACTGAATTCACTTATGGATTAAAAAATAGGAAAAGAGAGATACCAATGTTGGATTGCAAAACCAAGACTAGAGAAGATGGAAACTAAGATACCAGGGTGACGTCTGAACCCACAAACTCATTCAGAGAGAAACGTTTTAGGCTAGAAGATAAAATTAAACAAAATGACCCTATCTATATAAAACTGTCTGATGATTGTGAGGTCAAGTACATAGATCAAAGCAATCGACCAGGCTCAGTAAGAATATCTGAGCACAAAAATTTAGCGAAACAGAATGATAGACCCTACCAAGATAAGTAATTTAACGAAAAACTCGGTCGTCGCTCTGCATGCACTGACTGATAATCACACCATAGGGTGGCAATTCTGAAATCCAATATAGCTAGGTAGAGGAAAAGATTCATCACAGAATCTTTGTTCATTGAATCAACACCCATGACTTGTAACAGGAATGGCTCATCACATATTGTAGATATCTCGATGGTTATACTACCGCTAAAACTAAAGAATGAAGAAATAGTGGAGCTTGAAAGTCGTATGAGTACTTTGATATAAATATGCGAGATAAATTCTGCTCAAATTGTCATCCAGTCGGTAATACTGCACCACTGTATGCCATATCAAATATGGAGAATATTTGTAGCTCAGGTGGACGGTCTTGGTTGTATCAAATATCTAACAGCGTGTGTTATCAATAGTTATAGGAACTCCAACTACAGGTTTCGGTTGTCATGCCGATCCCGACAGACAAGTCTACATCCGCTACACATCTCAAGCCAACAGTCAGTAAATGCATGAACTGATGCTATATATTAATCTAGTTGCACTTAGCGTTTGTCAGCCTGAACCTATTAAACCTACTGAGTGATGAAGTAAACATTATTCATGCATGCTACAGTTATCTCAGTCGATGAAGATTCGCAATCCCATTAAATAACTTGCGTCTTTTATCGAAGACTCTATGTTTGACCTGTGCATCACTAAGGCGGTAGCTCACGGCTTTTCAAATACAGAATTTTCAACAAAGTAATGCACTTACCGAGAACCTTTTTTCAGTCAGAAGGACTGCCACGGAACCCCTCGATCGACGGAGTCGAATGATGCCTTTAGGTCGACATATACGGCTTCTATTAGGTGTTAGGACTACAGATGGATTCGAATACACGGAGAGTGCACGTAGGGTAGTTGGGAAGCCACGATTTCAAATCAGTCGTGCAAATGAACTTCAGCATCCATAATAAAGTAATCACGTTTGAGCCTACTTTGGTTACCTGCAACCACTAGAATGGAGCACCTCACACTACTATACTGCTTCAAGTCAAAGCCTCATAGAAGTGTCTTTTTAAGATAATCACCTTCGGTCTGTGCGTCTGAGCAAAGTCACATCCCGCATACATTATATGAATTATCTTTGGAAATCAACGCTACCACGTGTTCAGCGAACCTATCCACACCAAACAAAATTATTGCTCACTCATTCAACTCATGCTTATTTCGTTATTAATTTTGAACTATACTATCTAACGGCCATCATATTCAAACTTACCTTCATGCTTATCTCTGTTCCACTCAGTTGCTTGTTATTAACTGGGATTTTGTTCTTGGATCGCTTAACGTTTGCTTCCCGATCGATGCCCATTAGCTTGGTATTGGGCTGCGTGTGCATATCGCAATAACCCGAGCTATTCTGGTGAAACAAAACACTTCTTCTTCCCCCCTCGAGGTCCTACCGTAACCAAAAGGTCAGTTGGGTAGTGATTACTCAAACGCAGATACTCCTATAATGTAAACTGCTACGCTATGATGGGGTTCTGAGGGCGAAGTCGTGCTGCTGGTTGGATGGGGACATGAGAGCAGTAAGGTGTTTCCCCGGAATGACAAGTGGTGCCACTCTGATAGCGACTTCCCTATAGGAAGGGGAGGGTTAGAATAAGTCAGTAGGAAATATATCACACCACCACCTACCCGTGATGCGGGTTCATACTCGGATTCGCAAAGCACAAGCTAAAATGTTGGACTTCTTAAAATATCGTATGTGACCGGCCTCCAGCAGGTGTCCTTTGGGCTTTGTGGTCATAAAGTAACCCTTCTTTTTCAGGTAACCTCAGAAGAAATTGCATGATGTGAGTGGCCGTGAAATGTCAACCACCTCTCCATTTCTTTCAGCACTCAGGTTACCTCAAATCAGTGACCACCTTGTACCCCCTTCTAATCTTCCTTCACTCCTCGTGGTCAGTATCCCAGCATTATTGTTAATTTATTTCAGCTCTGCAGTCCTTGATAAAAACTCATTTTCATGGAACAGCATTCCTGTTCTCTCTAAATACTCATACAGGATCCAAGTGAGGTTATTCACTTAGTCTCACCTGCCAATATGGGGGTTTGGAATATTCACCCTTCGAGTTTCTGGAGATTCGACCCCTAGTTCTCGTGATTTTGCAGATGTAAGTACAGCATTGAGTGCTAAGGCAGAAGGTGCTGTGATCGACTGGATCCCAGTTCACAGTTGCCTATGCTTTGAAGTGATGAATAAAATTAACTGTGAAACTCACCATTGTCTCTTTGTAATCTCTCCGTACGTAACTACTGGTTGGATGAGTTGAAGGACGAGTCATCAGAAAGCTGTCAGACCTCCTATTGACAACCAAACTCTCAGATAAGATTGCTTTAGCAGCTGATCTGAATAAAAAGTGGGTAGGCTAAGCTAGGCAGGAAGGTACATAGGTGTCACTTTCGAAATCGCAGTCGAATGGACAAATAACGGCTTTCACATGCTGCAACTGTGTTCAGACAGCTAACGTTTTCTAGTCATCAGGAACTACAGACATCGAGACATTGTCTGATTTGGTATCCCCCGACCTTGACTCAGTGGTGGACGCGGACCATACTGTTATCATTTATCGCTGAAAAAGTTCCACCCATTATGGAGCACTTATTTCAACAGGAAGCTTGAGCTAGTGTATGTCTATGACCACAAGGATGATGGAAATCTACAGCCAGAAGACCATTATGAGTGCAGCTTGACAGTGAGAGATTCCAGTGAGAAACTGGATAGACAGTTATCGGAATAGAATAATGTCACTCATTTAAAAGAAGCCCGGCGCCATCTCCAATCTACTGGGAAAACGTTGCAGACCGCGGCTAGTATGCAGAAAGAGCCAATGGATCTCAGCAGCTTCTCTTAAATAAGCAGATGAGAGGGAGCACATTTCTGCAGGCTCGGAGCTCATTGAAGAGTGGAAGCAACTGAAATGTAGACCGACGAGAAGTGTACGCAAGGATTTCGAACAGGGATCAGCGGCGTAGGCACAAGGGAAGGAAAAGACTGAGGCGATAGGCAATAGTAGACAGTTATTTCGACTTATGGAGCAGATGGGTGAAAAGGTCAGTGGTTAGCGACACTATAGCGGAGTAGCATGGGTCTGCTATTTACTCTGAAGGGAGAGGACTGGAACGATAGGTGGATTACTTTAACGGACAGTTCAACTGGCTTTCAGCCACTATTTCAATGATCACTACACAGTTGAATCCCGAATGGTATACCGAGATGGGCAAAGCGACTCTTGCAGGAGTTCAGAAGGCTGCCAGTAACTTGAAATGAGGAAGGTCAGATGTGTTAGTACCAGAGATATTTAAGCACGTGGTCGAGGGTTATTGATTAGATGAAATGAAGTGTGGGAATAAGGATCGATCCCCTCTAAATGGTCTCAGCCAGCTATTGCCCAAGTCTTAAAGGAAAGAATAGTCTTCCTATGATAACCTTAAGGGAATCAATCTGACGAATTTAGCCTCTAAGATCCTAGGTCCTACAATCACTAGACACTTAACCGGAGTTCGGTAATGGCAAACCCGAATACAGCAAGTAGGTTTCAGAATTGGTCGTGGGTATGTTGAGCAGATATTTACCCGCCGGCATGTCTTGGAACACAGACACTTACCCGTGGCCTACACTCGCCGTATTCCTTGACATGCACTCGACTCCGTCGATCGAGAGATATTATGACAGTGTCTCTCACTGAAAGGAATGACAAGGAAGTAAATCACCATGTTGGAGTCTGCATTCGAAACTCGTGGGCATGTTAAAGTCAATGGTAAAGCATAGGGTGATTTGCGTATGCTAAGTGATGTCTATCAAGAATCTCTCCATATCTTATTTAACTTTGTCACAGAATTACCAAGGGGGGTCCACCTCACAGTGAAACTACCATGTCACAAGAGACTCATTAGTAGACCA